TTTAGTTATTCCCTTAGCATAATGGAGTTTCCTGTAACTTTGTTCTTGAATAGCTTATAGGAGTTTATATCAGGGTAAGAAATCACCAGTCCAGAACTCAGTTTCATCTAGCCCAGGAACAAGGGGTAATCTTGTTTATGTCTAAAATTGTACAAATATAATTTGTCATTGATAAGTGTATCCTTTGAAAATTGATGGTAAATATAACAAAAATTAAACAAATTTTTCCTTCTGTGTGCTTTTCTGTTTTCTAATTTTTTTCTAATGAAGAATCACTGCTTTTAGCCTCTGAGAAGATAAATTAGCTTTGGTAAGAAAAATATTTGAAGATAGGTATTGCAAGAAACTTTAGAGAGTATTCCGTACTTACAATAAGAAAATTCCCTCTGAATATTTCTTTCATGTGTTTATCCAACCAGCCATTGCTTCTGAACTTTCAGGGATAAGTAACTACCAACTGAGGCAGCCTGTTTCATTTTTCTAGGTCTGTACCCAAAATCACCTTCTGTCTTTTGAACACTGATCTTTATGTTCTCTAATTCTCACAGCATCACAAGGAATTTCATCTTCCATGTCCTTCATATAGATATTTAAAGGCTACTATCATGAGCCTTTGGCAGGTATTCAGGCAGTATCTATCTTTCTGCATTCTAACCTTATCTCATTGGGGCTATCACATAGCATATGCTTTCACTTTAATTACTGTACAAACTGTTTTATCTTAGTTCTTAATTGAAAATGTAAGTGGCAATAAAGTACTTCAGTTTACATTCCTTAGTAAAATAAGTTGCTTTTCGCTTCTGTCCTGTTAGGTCCTTGTCAAAATCAAAATTGGCTTTCTTCCTTTTGGTTCTCTTAAGTAATAAGGAATTTTAAGATTCTTAAAGACCAGTCAAAGGAGATTCTTACAGACCAAAGGAAATTTTACTACCCTTTTAAAACTAAAAGCATTATTTTAAAAATAAAGACTATGATGTAACAGCTAAACACTACCACATTTATTGTAACTCTCAGTGGATAAGATATGTCTCTTCAAGGTTTTTCCCCACAATCAGGAATTGTTTCAAAATGAGGCAATATTCTGCCCTTTTTTTAAATATAACTCTAAGAATAGATATAAGGTTGGACCTTACTATGGCCCTGTTGTTACCTCATGTTGGTTGTATCCATAAATGTTCCCTCTGTTCTTTAATAGTAACATTAAACATCAAGTTGGCACAATTTTTAGAATATAGTTCTCAAAAGAACTTTGCAAGTATTACATTTTCAGTTTGTTGAGATTATATAAAATATATCCTTCTCAGAAAAGATACACACAGATCTTAGTGTGACTGACTTGGAAAAACAATTAACAGTAATTATTTTCTCTCCCCAAAAGAAATTTTTACAAACCATTAAATGTATGGTGGTTCTTAATATGGTTTCATGCCTACAAGTGGGAATATAACCAGTAGTGTTCTAAAACCTCTAGAGTTTTACTTTGCCATAAAATTAGTGGCTTTTAAAATATATATTGTTCCCTATTTCCAGTTAATTCTGCTGGTTTCATATTCTGTGATTATATTGATGATACAGTTATAAAGGGACAGTGATATATGACAAAGTGGCCATAAATAGTTTCTGAGTGAAGATACCAGCTTAACCATATGTAGCAATTTTTGTCTATCTTGAAACCCCACTAAAATGCCTACAAAGAGGTTTTTTAGGAGAATAAACCCACAAAAATAAAGGAAATAGGAAAAGAGATAATAATAAAGGTTTGGAAGCTGGAAAGCAGATAAACTTGGCAGACTGCTAAAATTCTAAGCCAGCAGAGGGGAAAAATAAACAAGCAGATATACTAAGCAAAACTTCCAAACATTCAAGACTTGGGTGTACCTGGCACCTGGGAGCACTTGATCAGCTGAAGTTGTGAATTGGTCCACTTTATGTTGGGCCAATGTAGCATCCATACCTGAGGATGGGTAACTTACAAAGGAAAGAGGTTTTATTTTACACAGTTTAGGAGGTTCAAGGGCATGGTACTACCATTAGTTCAGCTCTGGTACGGACTTCATGATGGATGGATCACAGTAACAACAGCTCAGACAAGAGAGAGAGAGATCACATGGCAAGACACCAAGTCAGAGCAGGCAGGAAGGGGCCAGTCTTGCTTTTCTATAATAACCCTCTCTAGAGAACTGCCTTAATTGCTTCAGAGAGCAGAACCCTAGTGACCTAATGACCTCCCATTACTCACCACCTCTTAAATGTCCCACTGTCTCTTAAAACCATCCCACTGGGAACCAAGACTTTTAACACAAAAACCCTGGAGGATACACTTTTGTCCCAACCATAGCAGATACTAGATTGAAAACAGATTAAATGAGCTGAGATTCCCAGTCTTCATTTCTTTCTCAACAAACAGAATGCTCTCTTCCTGCCCGAACCTCCAAGCAAGAGACTGAAAAGTGCTTTTCTGAGGAATCTGACTAGCCTAAGAATAAGGGCATGAAGGTTTGAAAAAATGGCATGAAGGTCATGCCCAAGGAAAGAACCAAACCAGATCATTTTACAGTAAATCCCAGAGTCAACAAACCAATGGATCAAAACTTCCAATCAGCTTTCAATATCTGCTCTTAAGAATAAGCAGAAACAAGGGCTCAGAAGGTATCTGAGTAGAGCCTCTTAACAAAAGATAGAGACCAAACAAATGCAGGTGATAACTCAGAGAAACAGACTTTCAAAGAAAAGAAAACTTCAGCAACAACAAAACACTGATTAACATCCTTAGAGAGATAAGAGAAGGTTCTTTTATAAAATAGGAGTATTCAGGGAACCACTAAAAGAACTATAAAATCAAAACTATAATAGCAGAGCCTGGTGTGGTGCGCAACTGTAATCCCAGTCGTCTGGGAGGCTGAACCAGGATGATTTCAAGTTCAAAGTCAGCCTCAGCAACTTAGTGAGGCATTTAGCAACTCAACGAGACCCTGTCTCTAAATAAAAATATAAAAAAGGGCTGGGGATATGGCTCAGTGGTTGAGCATCCCTGGGTTCAATCCTCAGTACTGAAAAAGGGAAAAAAAAACAAAAAACTATAATAGCCGAATAAAAAAATCAGAATATTTAGAAAATAAAGCTAAGTAAACCTCCCAGAAAGAACTATTTTTTAATTTTTTTTTAGTTTTAGGTGGACACAATATCTTTATTTTATTTTTATGTGGTGCTGAGGATCGAACTCAGTGCCTCATGTGTGCTAGGTGAGCGCTCTACCACTTGAGCCATAACCCGAGCCCCAAGAACAATTTTTAAAAAGATGAAGCAATCAAAAAATAAAAACAATGTCAGAGAAGTCCAGTATAAATAAAAATTGAAATACGATGAAAGATTAATATGTGATTTTTAAATTTAGCCACAAAAGTAAAAAGAAGTAGGTAAAATTAATTTTAATTGCACAACTTACTTACTCTAGTATACTCAAAATATTACCATTGTAATATGTAATATACATTACTGATGTTTTACATTCATTTCTTCATATTAAGTATTCAAAAATCTGTTGTATATTTACACTTAGAATATTTCATAATGGACTAGGCACATTTCAAATGCCTGGTCTGAATAACAGAAGTTGTAGAAAAAGAGAACAGAGAAGAAGGAAGAGTGATAGGAGAGAGAAAATAATTTATAAAAATTTCCAAAGACTGAAAGATACTAGTTTCCAAAGTGAATAGGTTCTCAGAAAAACCCAGCAAAATAGATGAGTTAGATCCAAAGACACTCCATCATATTTCAAACCACCAGGGACTCAGAGGCACCTCTGTAGGTTACAGTGAAAGGATCAGATATCAACATGGATTTAAACTTCTGGGTAACACTGGACAGACAAAAGACTATATACATCAGTGCCTTTAAACATCTGAAGGAAAAGCTACACCAATCTTTAATTCTATAACTAGCCAAAATACAAACTAAGAGTAGGAAAAGGGAACTTTCCAACATCCAAGATCTAGGCTGGGTGAAGTGTTGTACACCTGTAGCAGGAGATTGCTTGAGTCCAGGAGTTTGAGGCCAGTCTGGGCAACATAATGAGACCCCACCTCAAAAAATAAAAAGATCAAAATATTTGCCTGCTGTTGAAGAATGTGCTAAAGAAACAAAGAATGCGGGAAATGTGAGATATAAGAAAGGTATCACTAGGTATCAACAGGATGAAACTGTGAACCAAGCATAGAGACCAAGCCGACTAGATTAAAGAAGGTCAAAAGAAACCAAGGAAGGCTTCATCAAGAAATGCAGTTGCTACAGGGTACGGTGGTACTCTTTCTGTAATCCCAGTGATTCAAGAGGCTGAGGCGGTAGGATCCCAAGTTTGAGACCAGCTTCAGGAACTTAGCGAGACCCTGTCTCAAAATAAATTAAAAGAAAAGAAATTAAAAGGGCTGGAGATGTATCTCAGTGGTAGAGTGCTTTGAGTTTAATCTCCAGTACTGGAGGGGAAAATACAATTGCTAAAATACCTGATGGGACTAAATGTGGATTTAGACAGCTGGCAGAGATTTGGAGGAGGGAAGAAGTCAAGTACATGGAAGACTAAGCAAATAAGAGATTAAAGTGTAAAGTTATAAACTCAGTGTTGATGAATTTAAATTAAAAGTTTGAGAAGGGTGTGCAGGTAAAGTATATGAAGTAGTTAAAGAGCTATAACCTCATCTTTTTTAGAGCAAAATCAATAGACAGCTCTTACAACAGAAATAAAAGGAAAAATAAGATGTGTTACCTGAAAATAAGAAGGTAAAAAGTAAAGCAGGTGTGGCAAATGGTTGATTCTGGGATGAGAAAATAAAGGGAGGAAAAGGTCTGCCATTTTTTTCCTAACAAACTTTATAGAACTATGTCCAATTCTGAAGTATATACACATGTAAATTAATTTAGGAAGAAACACAGGCAATAACAAATCTTGATGAATAAAGGACGCTTACCAGGCCCATGCTAAAATGAGTGTCCTTATCTCCTAGCATTGAGTATTGGTTCCGCTGCATGGACCTGGATGGAGATGGTATACTCTCCATGTATGAGCTGGAGTACTTCTACGAGGAGCAGTGTGAACGGATGGAAGCCATGGGCATTGAGCCTTTGCCATTCCATGATTTGCTGTGTCAGATGCTTGACTTGGTGAAGCCAGCCAATGATGGTGAGACCCAATAAATAGCATATGGCACTGTTTACCTTTTTAACAGAGTGGGGCACATAATACTACATAGGTCCTAACTTCTTTAACTTTCCAGAGTCTTTTTTTTTTTTTTTTTCCACAGCACTATGAAGTGAACCCAGGGCACTTATTTTACTACTGTGCTACATCCCTAGCCTTTTTTTAAATTTTGAGACAGAGTCTCGCTAAGTTGCCCAGGCAGGTCTCAAACTTGCCATCCTCCTGCCTCAGCCTCCTGATCTGGGATTACAGGTGTGCAACACCATGCTTGGCTCCAGGGTCTTTCTTGTGGGCTTCCCAAGAACAGAAGTGTTTGAAGTTTCCCCTTGGCTATTGAGTGGAGAACCAGCAATAATGGCAAATGCATTGTTTAAAAAAAAAAAGATTTTTCCATAGAGACAGAAAACAGAATAGTTGTTTCCAGGGGCTGGAAAGTAAAGGAAAAAGGGAAGAGTTTCTTTTTGATGTGACAGTACCATGGAACTAGATAGTGGTGATGGTTGTACAGTATTGTGAGTATCCTACTAAATTGTAACATTTAAAATTTTGTGTTTTGTGAATATTATGTTGATTTTTTAAATGTGATTTTTTTATAATAAACTTTTACATACACTTTAGACATCACTGGAAGTTTTTTTCTTTTGTCAGAATAGCTCTTGATGAAATTTACCAGTTATATTTGTTTTTATGTAGGCAAAATAACTCTACAAGATCTGAAGAGGTGCAGAATGGCTCACATCTTCTATGATACGTTCTTTAATCTGGAAAAATACTTGGACCATGAACAGAGAGATCCCTTTGCAGTCCAGAAGGTACCAGTATAAGTTTAACTTTATTTGAGAGCTATAATATCAGGAGCTGTGTGCTACATATTAAAATGGTCTCTGCATGTAGGAATCTTAGTATTTAAAATATCTTCACCAAATGTTGAAAAGAGAATGAAGTATATAAGGCCCTGGCAATCACCAGCACCACAGAAATAGAATAAAGGACCAAAAGCACATTTCTCCCCACAGCCGATCTTGAAGTTTAGATAAACTTCATCTACCTATACTTTGAACTGAATGGACTGTGTATACTGTGTACTTGCATACACATTAGAACTAGTTTCAAAAAAGTATTTTTGAAAAAAAGTTCAGCTTTTCAAAATATATTAATAGGCACATCTGTATTAGAAACTATATTGACCTTGATTTAATTGTTCTAAGCATATTTGGGATTCTGTAATAAATAACTTGCCCCTTCCAAGTGAAATCTAGAAGCCTTTGATAGTTACCTTCAGAAAATACAACACTTTTTCAAGTGTTAATGATTGCTGTTCATGGCTATCAGTTTTAAATATTGTTCTACATCTGATTAGAGATGCCCAAAAACCTTAGACCCTCAGTAAACCTTGTACACATATGTAATCCATGTCAAAAACAAAACAAAACTGAATATAACCACTTGCTCCACCATTCCCCTGTTTAAGAAGTAAAAATTATGTCAATAGGAAAGACTGTTTAGCTCAGTAAAATACAACTACAGGTAACTTTAACAATCTTTTCTTATTCTTCCATGTATTATATAACTGTTGACCTAAATAATGGTAAGATTATAAAAATCACCTTCTAAGGACAGTTACTCTGCAGCTGACCTTGGGGCATAACCAAGGTGCGTTATTGCTAACTAACATCAATATAATGTTTCATTGAATTTAACATCCTCCATTATTTTACATATCTAAGCAAAAACAATTGCCAATTATTAGTCTACAATGCATAGCAATGTCATAAATGTTAAAAGGGTTGGGTAGTGGATTTAACATGGGTTAAATATAGTAAGTAATACATTTTGTGGCCAGTGTTTAGGTACTTATATTCTAGATATAACCAACCCTACACTAGAGCAATACTAACTCCTTTTCATCTTGGAAAGACATTTGACCTAGAATATAATCTAAGACACTGCCCACATGTAGGAGGGCAAGAAAATAGTTATTCCCCTCACTTATTTTTGTGTTATTTTTACCTTATATAAACTTTACTTTTCTTTCTATGAAGTGGTAATTATCAATATTTATTCATAACTGTGAAAAACAAGTCAGAAAGTAACAAAAAATTCACTATGTTGAAAAGATACTGAGTATTTGGAGATTACAAAGACAGAACAGCAAAAGGTGGCAAATAGTTAGAAAAAAAGGGACCTAGAAGACAAAGGCTGCTTCCAAGAGGAGCTCACAGGTGATATGATATCTGAGCTGGCTGTTAGAGAAAGAGTAAAAATTTGCCAGAGAAGCTGGACATAGTGGTGCATGCCAGTAATCCAGCAGCTCAGGAGGCTGAGGCAGGAGGATGGCTAGTTCAAAGCAAGCCTCAGCAAAAGTGAGGCACTAAGCAACTCAGTGAGACCCTGTCTCTAAATAAAACACAAAATAGGGCTAGGGATGTGGCTTAGTGGCCTAGTTCCCTGAGTTCAATCCCTGGTACCAAAAAAAAAAAAATTGCCAGAGAAAAGAGTGGTACATTTCAGGTAGGCATGTACATCTCTCTTCAGATGCTGCTGCACAAAGGGCTGGGGAGAAGGAAATGGAGAAACATCTCTGATTACAAGGCTAATGAATCCAGACATAAAAAAATATGGCTGCTAAACAACAATCCTGTACAAGAAGTAACTTCTACATATAATTTATACTAGTCAGTCCAACAGTTTTGTTTGAATTGTAGAAAATCATCATAGGCATGTTACCTTACCACCTCTTTTAACATGTTGAAACACTTTTCAGAGAAGTATTTTCAGCATATACAATATTTGTTATGACCTACCTTCAAGTTTTTTGTCTTTGATTATTTTTGTTTTTCTGTCTGTCCTTGTTCTAATCAGGACGTTGAAAATGATGGGCCTGAGCCCTCTGACTGGGACAGGTTTGCTGCTGAGGAATACGAGACACTTGTCGCAGAGGAATCCGCCCAAGCACAGTTCCAGGAAGGGTGAGTGAATCTCCCCATGTCTTATAGAACTCTCTAACAGGGGTGCCCATATCAGGAATATAAAACTAACTTAGATAAATCTTTTTCTAGTTTTTTTTTCTTTCTTTTTTTTTTTTTTTTTTAATACCTGGGATTAACCCCAGGAGAATTTACCCATTAAGCCCACATCCCCCATTTTTATTTTGAGCCTTTTTTTTTTTTTTTTGAGACAGCGTTTTGCTCTTAGCAAGACTGGTTAGGGACTGGTTAAGTTGATGAGGCTGGCCTTGAACTTTCAATCCTCCTGCCTCAGCCTCGTGAACCACTGGTATTTACAGGTGTGTGCCACCACACCTGGATGTTTTTTCTATTTTTGAATAACAAAAATGATTGATTTAGCCAACTTTAGTTAAATGAATACTTTTCTCAGCATTCTTCTCTTCCATCATTTATTTCCTAGTAAAGTCTTCTCATGTCCCATTTCCTTTAATAAGTCACACCTTTCACAGAAACCAATATCACTGGGTCATACCACTGCTTTAATGATATCAGTAAACTTTGTGGATAAAGGAGGAAGCTATAGGAACTGAAGCTCCTTTTAAAAACAAGATGATCATGCTTAAAACAGATCTTTATCACATGTTGTTTTGTGCATTCGAGCCTGTACAAGAAGTAACTTCTGTATATTATTTATACTAGTCAGTGCAAAATTCCATGGAGGGACCATGTTCACAATCAAAAATATGTCAAAACATATTCTACTGTCATATATAACTAAAAAGAACAAATAAAAAGAAAAAATGAATGCAAGAATTTGACTGATGTAACATTTCAGCAATTTTATAATTTGCTGGTTTTTTCCATTATAATCTAATGTCTCCTAATTCTTCCTTAGTCCTTGTTTCGTAGTACATGCATATGACATAATATTCAAAGAAAAAAGTGAATAAATAGTAAAAGTCTCCCTGTCACCCAGTTCTCCTCCCTCAAAGCAGCCAGTGTTATCATTTCTTTGTGTACTTTTCTAGACTGTGTGTACTGTGTGTATATGCAAATATAAATACATTGTTTTGTTTTTATTTCTTTTTTAAATACTGTGAATTGCACCCAGGAGTGCTTTATCATTAAGCTACATCCCCATCCCTTTTTTTTTAAATAGCTTTATTTATTTTTATGTGGTGCTGAGGATCGAATCCAGTGCCTCACACGTGCAAGGCGGGTGCTCTACCACTGAGCTACAGCCCCAGCACCCCCATCCCTTGTTTTTTAGTACTTTTTTTAGTTATATAGATGGACACAATACCCTATACTTTTTATTTATTTATTTTTATGTGGTGCTGAGGATCAAACCCAGTGCCTCACACATACTAGGCAAGTGCTCTACTGCTGAGTCACAACCCCAGCCCCCCCACCCAGTCCTTTTTATTTTGAGACAGGGTCTCACTAAATTGCTCAGGATCTTATAAGGTGCTAAGGCTGGCTTCTGCATCCAGGGATTAGAGGTGTGTACCACCATACCCAGCTTATTTTATAGTTCTTTACTAACTCTAACACCTCATTATTGGAAATTATAGTGTTGCAACAAATCATCCTATATACACATCATTTTATACATATACAGGCTAACTTCCTAGAACTATGGCAAACAGACAAGCATAGTCAAACTAGGTATTTGTAAAAAGTATGCAAAGATATGAGATTTTAGAAAAGCCAAGCAAGATGCATTCACCCAAAACAAGCAAGAGTGGGGAGCCACTTTCAGTTCCTAGGCCCAAAGGGACAAAGAGATGAAACCATCACTAGAATCCAAAGAGAGGGGCTATATAAAAGGGGCACCTGACAGAATCTGTGACTTTCAGTAATGGGATTTTACCAACCTGGGCCAAACCCACCTGAGAGAGAGTTGCTAGAGAAAAGTACCCAACTTCATACCCTTCAGTAACTTGCTGGTGCCTCCTGTTCATTCAGTCAGAAATCAGAAGACAAGGGAAGCCCCTATGTGGTGAGTTCAAGTCAGGCTCCTGAGACATAATGCTAAGGGGGATCTGGAGTGATAAACAGGAAATATCTAGCCTAATGGATACTGTAGTAAAATTGTACCATCTTACTCCTCCATCGTGCTTTTTTTTTTTTTTTTTTTTTTTGTGGGTGTAGGACATGCCATCACTAACCTCCCTCCCCTTTTATTTTAGTTGATAAATGTAATTAACTTCCATATAATTTAGGACCATTTTTAAGCCAAAAATCACATGCCTAAAAAATTAAATTTTTTTGATTATGTGACATGAAATTAATACATATAGTGTTTTTGAAGATTGGAAACAGTTTTATTTAAAAAAATTAGAAACAATGATTTTGTATTTCAAAAATATACTCTCCATAAGTAAAATAACAGTGACACTATATTACACATAGAACTGTTTAAAACTATGAATATATAACAAGAAAAATCATTCTGCTTATGTTGTTTTTAAAGTTTATATATTTAGTACAAATATTCTTTTTGCTTTAATGAGTAGAAAACGTAACTTAAGTAAACATTTTATTTGAAAATTATTTTATAGTACATTCATAAGAATGGGACTCTAACTAGACAAAGATATTCCAATGTTTGTATAATTATATCCAAATGGATTATATAACTAAAAAGAACCAATACTTAAAAAGCAAAAGAGAAAAATATTTTAAATTATAGTTATCCTCAGGTATCCTTGTTTGGACAATAAATAGTAAGGAACTCCTTTTAGAGAAGTCAGCAGTATGATTATAGGGTGAGAGGAGCAGGATTCTTCAGCAACACACACAAAAAAATTGAGTCTAACCCATTCTGTGGTGGGGACAGGGTCATGGAATGTTTTTCAGGAGGTCAATGACTACATTAAGACCTGAAAGATGGGACTGGAGAGTTGCTCAGTGGTAGAGCGCTTGTCTAGCATGTGTGAGGCACTAGTTCGATCCTCAGCACCACATAAAAAAATAAATAAAATAAAGGTATTGTGCCCATTTATAACTAAAAATAATTTTTAAAAAAAGATGAAGAGGAGTTACCCAAAGGAGAAAATAAGGAAGAATACTTCAGGAAGGATAAACAGCATAAAACAGGCTCACAGGCAAAGTCTAGTTCTGCCCATGATTTAAGGTTTGTTTTTGTTTTGTTTTGGTAGTTGTCCATGGATATTTATTTATTTATTTATTTATTTATTTATTTATTTATTTATTTGCATGTGGTGCTGAGAATTGAACCCAGTGCCTCACACATGCTAGGCAAGTGCTCTACCACTAAGCCACAACCTCGGCCCTTAAGGGACTTTTTTAATCTGAGGATTTTTTTAAAAAAAATCTGTTTAGCCACAAAAGTGGGATTTCATTTTTATATCAATGACCTGAAAACCCTAAAATCATTCATATATTGAATATCATGAGCCTGACTACATCATAAAATAGGAAAGTGGATTCACAAGTATGGTCTAAGGTTTTTTGGAATTATTTTATTGATCTTATTAAGCATCATTGGTATAGTTAAGAACAGGTGTAGATGTTTATAATAGTGAAAAATAGACAATCTAAGCATATGAAGGGAAGGTTAACAAAATTATACTATTTATACACAGTCTCATGTAAGCATTAAGATCATGTTGTAGATATATATTTTTTTTACTTTCCTTATCAAAAAAAAATAATAGGGACAAGGAAAAAGGCTTTGAAAGATAAATGTAATAGATAACAAGACAAAAAAGGTACCCAAAAGAGTTAAGTATATGTAAGGAAAACAAAAGGTATCTAACTTGTATGTATTAGACAATAGAATAATGGAATAAATATACATATTCAAGGATGATAGAAAGGCTTTTAGGGGAGTAGGTACTAGAGATTGACGAAGGGGTGCTACCTCCCCAGCTCTTTATTTATTTATAAACATACTTTTATTTTATTTTACTGTTTGGTACTGGGGATTGAACCCAAGAGTGCTTTACCATTGAATCACACCCCCAAACCTTTAAAAAAAAAAATTTTTTTTTTTGAGACAGGGTCTTACAAAGTTGCTCAGGTTGTCCTAGAACCTTCAATCCTCCTTCCAGAGGCTGGGATTACAGGCATAGACCACCTTGCCAGGCTCTTATTTTTTGAGACAGGGACTGGCTGGCCTCAAACTTGCAATCCTCCTGCCTCAACTTCCTGAGTTGCTGGGATTACAGCTGTGTGCTACTGCACCCAGCAAAGAAGACCTGAATATGAAAGGTCAGAAGTCACATTATATCAAAGAAATCATAATAATGAGTGCTTCCAGACTTGCATTGTCAATTTGCTGGAATTCAAAGATAAACTTTATTTTGAGATTTTTTTTTTTCCCCATTTTTAAAAAATGCAAGACAAGGGGGGAAAAAATCAACTTTACTTCAGATACCTCCCAGTAAGAATACTGAAAGACTATGAGACAGTGTTTACATACAAAGTTAAGATAATATTCAAGCATAAAGATACAAATGAATATTTTCAAACATGTAAAAACTTCAGGTAATAAAGCACCTTTTAGCTCTTTTAAAAGGACATAACTGTAAAGCCAAGAGACAAACCAAAATAAAGAGAACAGAAATGGAGCAGCTGTGATTGACAAGAAATAAAAGTGATCATTCAATCCTTTCAAATGTAAAAATAAGTCTAAATAACTTTAAGGGCATTAAAAGATAATGGGAAGAAATATATGTGGAAATTCTAGATATAACTTGAGATTAAGAGGTACAGAGAAGAAATAAAATATATATGTTAGTTTCATTAGCAGTCTTAACAGATATCCTCAAAAATTGCTAATTTAAGTTGAGGTGTTAAAAATATTAAGAAATACTAAACCAAACTTGAGATATTTTAATTTAATCACAAAATATGTACAGAAGAAAAACACAGGCTATGCAGTATAAACTAAAGATATCAACTAAGGCCAATATTTTCAGATAAATGAATGTAAAAGGAATAGATTCACTTAATAAAAGAAAAATCCAATTATGGAATGACAATAACAACCT